CCAGAACTAAAAATTACACAGTTCTACTCAACAGATTTTTGCTTTGCCTCTAGCAAATTAATCAAATAAGAGTCTAATTTGATTTAGATTAAATGAATTCCCTCTGTTAGTTGTGTTAATCCCCAGTTGAACTGCCTTCTTATAATTCCACTCCCTTGAAGCACTGTGCTGTAACTTATTTAACTCTACAACTTTATTTATTAGAGGTGTTATAGTAATAGCTTATAACTGGAAGGCATTGGTTGGCATTGGTGGGATGTGGTTATTGCCAAAATATCTCAAAGACTTTTCTTTTTTTCTTTTCTTTTTTCTTTTACGTCAGAGTTCTTGCTTTGCACTGACTCCCTTCATATTTGATGTAATTCTGTCCTGCTCAGCTACAGATAGCCAGTTCCTTTTAGTGGTTTGCTGTAAGCTCTGAGTGACAATCCATTGTAGCCCTCCAAGGATACTCTTGTAAACCTGATGAAACGGGAGATCTCTGATGTCCTTCTGTACTGTTAAATAAAATTGGTTCCTCAAGTGCCTGCCTTTTTTTTTTTCGGAAGTTCCCCTTTTTTGGTGGAGTCTCCTTCCGCCAGAGCTCAGCAGAAGTCAGTGGAACAGGAAATCTCATTGTAACTAGATTTTCTGTTTTCTTCTTCTTTCTTATTCTGGATTCTTTCTCTTTCACCTCCCAGATGAAAGCGCTGAAGGTTAGAGCCCTGTTACTTGGGAGCAAAATGCCCACGTGCGTGGGCAAGCCACCCATCCTCGCATGTGCTACGCAGGGGCTGAAACCACAGCTAGCCTCTTGACGCTTGCTCCCGTGTTCTGCCGGGCAACCGAAAAGGAGGCTTGCTGGGAGGTGAAACACGCTTTTAACCTGCCCCCGGTGAAGTTTTCTCATGCGGTGTTTGCATGTGTGGGAGTGGGTAGGTTTTCTTTGCCTCGCTTTTAAGGACTCTCACCATTTCATGCAGTGAGGGAGCTGCCATGCCACAGGATACGTGCCTGAGGTGATGTTCCCAACCGTCCCTAAGGCTGCGATGTCCTGAACTCCAGGCTTATAAAATGAATTATGGCTGGTCTTTCCTATACTAAAGAGTTAAATCTTTTGGCTGGGATATTACAATGGATTCTGCTTTGCTATCTGCTTCAAGGAAAAGTATGCCCTTTTATGTTTTTCACCCAGGAAAATAATCCTTACATATAAATGTGTGTATGTGTGTAACGGAAATATTGCATTCATTCCGGTTGTCTTTGAAAATGAGAAGGGTTGAATTTAAACTAATCAAAACATTTCAGACTTGTCTTTCACTATGTCAAACCAAACTCACTTATACCAGTAGCAGCCCCACTCAAGTGAATGGGCACCACTGATGTACAAAAGCAAAGCTGCGGTAATATGAACCACAGCTGGTCAAAGCTCATGAATTTGTTTCACTCTGATTTCTGAAGTTGTCCTTAAAATCAGAGGGCATAAACACATAATACATCCTGGAGGTTTTCTTCTTATTTCCTTTGCTGGTCGGCGTGTGTGTTTTTTTAACCTCTGTAACTCATCACAGATTATATTTCCATATTTTTCTCTACAAAGGCTGCATAGTCCCTTTTAAATGAAAATTTAGGTTCTCCTTTATTTACACAATTCAAAGATATCATGAAGCTTTGAGAAAGACCACTATTTTTGTAAAACTTGTCACAAAACTTGAGGATTTTCAGCACTGGAACTTGTACCAGAGAACTGAGGGCCAAGTTTTTGATATCTCCAGTGAGTACGATACCATTCAAAAGGGAATGAGAGGAGAAGGCTGGGACAAATGGCTTTTCCTCAGGACTTAAACTTATTGCTTTGTTTATCAACTTTATTTTTAGTATTTCAAAAACAGATTTCTTTTAGGAAGAACCTGGTAGGAGTTTCAACCCATCCTAGTCTCCTTTTTCAAAGGATGCCGAGCTGTACATTTCTGAAAATTTAGTCTTAAGTTCTTGTTCTGTTCATTTCTTCCTCCCCTCTCTAATGTCCTTAAACTTGTTGCATTGCAGTTAATATTAGTAAAGATTATTTATTATATTTGCATGTGATTTGAGCAAAGTGTGTAGTGGGAGTTATGACTGAAACACCACTGAGCTTAGTCTATTAGGTAATTTTAATAGAACTCCCCTAAAATAAATTCTTGCCTCTTGCTCACGTGGATTAAAAAAGTTTTATCTGATGTTTTAGATTTTAATAAACAAGAAGCAAGGTTACCTGCGGACGAAGCAGTCCTTGCCCATCTCTACTTCCTTGTTTCAAATGCCACAAGTGTTCTTCAGAATCAGGAGGTTTAATGAATAATTATTAAGTATTAAAAATTAAAACAAAAAAAACCAACCCAGTCATCCCTAGTAAGCACAGCACACTGTGTTGCAAATATAAAATAGTAAACAGTCTAGAGGAACATAAATACATTTATGAATACGTTGCCACAGGGCAATGCTGTTGGGCAAAGCAAGAAGAACTAAACAACCAACTTATCCCATCTAGCATCTGCAGGAATAGAGCGGAGCTTTCAGCAAACGCTCCTTGAAGCTGAGATGACCTCTGAGGCAGCATTTTGAATGGCTTTGATTCCCCAAGGCTGTGGACAGGGAGGAAGCAGAAGTACTTGATGTGAAAGATGATCAGGGAGCTTAGAGAGAAGTTTGACAGTGTGGGCCTGGGAGAAGGGTCTTGGAGATGTGGTGTAGGATGAAGCAACAGGATTTAGACACGGCCTGGCTGCATGAATCAGATAAGCTATAGATTGGATCAGCCAGATTACACTCCTGAGAAACAAAGAAAGTGATTGTGTTACCACCCCGATAGTAAGAGAGGTCAGGAAGTTAAGGGCCCTGGAACTGATATCTTTTTTATGCAGCTTTTATCTTCTGTGCAAGAGGGGAAGATTTTTCCTTAGTACTTTACGGTTGGGATGAGAAGCTTGGTTGTTGACTGTTCATGGTCACTTGGTTTATTAGTATTTGTCATGTTTTGTCGGGTGACCTTGTCTTCGGATAACATTTGCTAGAATTGTGAGGTTTTTTTTTTTTTTAAAGGACTCTTGCTGCCTTCAAAATCAGGATGTGTTTGTTTTGCCTAAGGAAGTGTCCACTGGTTCTTGCATTTCTTAAATACACATCTAAATTGGGAGTCTCACTCAAGATATGGACAGGAGCGTCCCTGGCAGTAAGCAAAACCTGTACTATCTGGTTAGGAGTATGGGTGAAAGGTTTTGAGCTGTTTTGTGGGAAGTGCTGTGTGAGTAAAGGGTGATGTTCTACAAAATGATACATTCCATGAACAATTGCGCTGTATCAGGTGACGTCTTCCTCAGGCTTCGGTGTGTGGCACTTGGCAGGTTAGAAGGAGGTGTAGGTTAAAATTTTGCCTAGAGGTACACTCATACGATTTGGACTTTGTCAAGCCTGCAAGAGCTTGATATTCAAATTTATATGTTTTGGGAGGACTTCACCTTTGGATACATCCTCCCAAGCCTCCCTAGTGCCCCACGTTAGCCGCAGCCTCTGGTGATGCAGACCAGCCTATTCATCTGCAATAAAATCGTGGACAGCAAAGGGCTCACCCAGCATAGATCTCTCACTCCACTGTGTAAGTTTGTCTATTTTGAGTCTGCTTTTTCATTACCGCTCATTAAATATTCCTTTCTGGTGAATTCCTTGATGGCCTGGCCTTTGTGCTTCTGTTTACTTCTCCTCGGTGTGGGTAAAAGATCTGGATGGAGAGTTTCCAAGTGAATAAGCTTCCTTGGCATAATGTGCTGGACGAGTGGCATGGGGTCCTTGCAAAGCGCAGCTCCATGAGCGGCTGCTGCAGCTGCCCAGCGTGGTGTGGTCATGTCGGACGTGGTGCTGAGTCTGCCTTCCCTGAAGTGGGTGGTGATAAGGCTCTGCTGCAATGCAAACAAAAGCCAGGCCAGTAGATTTTGGACAACACAAATTTCTTTTTCCTTTGCAACAGTTTTTGAGGCTTGGGAGGCAGGCTTGCCCGCAGACTTTGGTTTAGAAATGCAGCAAGGGCAGTATGGCTCCCCAGCATAGCGTAGCTGTGGACTACTGACCACAGTCACGCTGACCACCACTTGGGAATCAGTGTGGTAAAACCTGTTTTAAGAGATCCCGCATAGGATTTCCCACCATGTGAAATGGCGCTTGTGGGAGGGCAAATGGATCTATTTTCCTTCCCTCTAGAAATTGTGAAGATGGGAGATAAAGCAGCTTGGTCTGAACTCCCCTTGCCGAAAGTTCAATCGACTGATACAAAAGCTGGTTCTGGGCTCTTGTCTTCCTCTCTACCTCAGCAGAAAGAAAGGCGTTGGTTGGTAGAAAGAGGCTGACCACACAAATGCATGCATATCCTTTTTTTCTAAAAAAGAAGTTGTGGGTGTATTTATTGTGCTGGTCCCAGCCTTTTCCTTTGCGGTATTGTTGCTGGAAGGAAGTGGAGAGAAATTAAGCTTCTAACAAGATAAATTTGAGATTATTAGCACTTCACTGCTAAGAAGATGAGAACAGAAGGATTTTGTTTTATTTGTTTTTGACATCTTTGAGTTTGTCAGTTCTTTTTCCCCTTTTTTGTTGGGTCTTGTCTCTTCAAGTGAAACTAGCGCGTGTGGGAGGAGGTGGTGAACGGAGAGCCATAGCTTCTGACTCTTCTCTCTCGTTGTTCAGCATAGCTACACATTGCAAAGCCAAGCAGAAGTGCTGCTTTGTGCAGATGGCCGGGCTAATACACTTTGAGCCTGAGCCTGACGGCGCAGGCAGCTCCAGCAGCTGTTGTGAGCAAGCGCCTCGGCCCTGGCAGCGTTGCCCGCTGTGGGTGTCCTTGCAATGAGGGACTGGTCTGCTCCAGCCTGTACTTACACTCCAACCAGGCCCCAGAATAGCCTCCAGATGTAGTCTGGATTTCTGCTGGAGATATGGGGGGAGGGATAGGCTCCAAACTGTGACAGAGGCCCACCCGGTGACAGAGGTGCAACATGAACAGTGGAGGGGAAGGAAATTCAGTGACGGGTAAAATGTCTTGCAAATCAATGACACTTTCAAGTGCATTAACTTATTGTAGTGCACTCACACAAAAATTCTTCTTGTCTTTGTCCGGTGAAAGAAGTAACCTCTTGCTGTGTCTTTCTCTCTCCAGACGATTTTGCAGAAGAGGAGGAGGTGCAGTCCTTTGGCTACAAGAGGTTTGGTAAGTGGCAGCAGGTCTTTCAGCTTGCTGTTTCTTAGTCCTTAAACAAAGTGAAACAATTGCTTTTAAAACCTCCCTTGGCAGCGGCATAGAAACCTGTCGGATGGGCTTCAACTTCTGTCTAATACATGCCCCCAAAAAGTTATTTTTAGGCTTGTTTTAGTTTCTTGGCAAACATGCACTTCAGGAGTAGCTCTGATCAGATATGAAAAGACGTGTTTAGTTATTTGAATAGTGAACGAAATAGTATTATGGAAATGAAGTCCACACTTCAACAGAAATGGATCTGCTGGCTGTAAGAAAGGGACTGTACCTCATAAATATCTTCTGCCCAGTTAGGCTTTCCTTAGGCCTTCAGACTGATGTACAGCACAGTTTGTAGCTATTCCTAGAACGGTTGTGGGGGATCTCCTGCAGGCTCACGGAAGTTGCGTTGACAGTTTAGCCAGGAACTGGCTAACTCCTATCAAAAAATAAAAATATTTGATATGAATGTATTTGGAAACCAGTCCTGTTGACGAGAATCCCTTACCGCTGCGTTATCTGCTTCTGACCTGGGATGTAGTGGTAAATTCAAAAACTTGTTAAACTCTCCTGTATGGTATTCCAGAACTGATTTAATTCTTTATTGCTTCTCTGTAGAAGTGGGCAAACTTTTGCTTACCCTTGAATATATCAAGAGATTTGACTTAATACAATGCAGTGTTACATTTTATAAACAATTATTTAAACTAACAATTCTACTAAATAGTTTTATTGAAACAGTGTCAATCACTATCTTTTCTTAATGTTTGTTCATGAAAATGGCCATCAAGCATGAAGAAATCTGTGCCATACATCTCTGAATAGGGCTGAGAAGCCTTTCAGGCTCTCTCTGATTGTCGGAGAATTATTTCAATATCAGCAGGCTTCAGCTTCCTCCAGAGAGGCTCGCTGGCTCCTTTCCGTCTGACCGCCATCAAGGTAATACGATGGGCTCCAAGCTCCTGTAGTGCCAACTCTGTCTGGGGATGGAGAAAGCACCTGCAGCCAAAAACGTGAGAGAGACTTCTGAGGAGCTCATCATCCAAACTGATAGCTGCCTTATCCACCATAAACCGTTGGGATAAAAGTTCACCTTGTTCTTCTGTCCCAGGAAAGAGGCTGGAACAAAAGTCACTTTCAACAACCCCTTTTGGCAAACTGATAGGAAAGGCAGGCTGAATTTAAAAAAAAAAAAAAAGTTAACAATTCTCTGCATCCCAAAAGGAGCAGGGGGAGGAATATTTGTAGCAGAAGGAGATGCGGTGTTTGGGAGGTGGGGATCACATTCGCATGACCTCTTCTACCCCCTGAACTACTCCAATGCTCCCTGCTGTTGAGCTTTATTTTGGATAGGTCAGCCAACCACAGAGCCAGCATCTGTGGCTTGGAAAGTCCTGCCATAAGGCTGCACATATTTTTTTTCTTACTTTTTTTTTTTCTGGATTAGGCCCTAGAATAGCAAGAAAAAAAATCTGGAAAAATGGAAAGAAATTTTAACTGTTCATTTCTGTCACCTCCAGCTGAGGAGAGTAAACAATATTAGGATTCATTAGCACCTATAAAAATAGCTTCCCTCCATGTTGCCTGCTACCTAGCCGCTTCGCATCAGCATGCTTTTGCAGTGAACCGTGAAAGGTTTCAGCAAGGAGTGGGTATCCCTAGTAAATGCACTATTGTGACATAACAGGATATTCCCATGTTAACTTGCTTTCATTCCTTTCTTTCTCCTTTGCCCTGGATACTGTGGTGCTAACAACATGAGCAACTTCTCCTCTTAAAAATGGAAAACTGATCTGAACATTTCCAGAAGTAGGTGTGCTATTGCAGTGGGGGCAAAGGGGTGAGAAGAGAGTAAGCAGTATGGTAGTGGCAGGAGGAGGAGATTTCCCCATGTCCTTGTTCACACCGCAACACCGCAAAGTGACAGAAGGGAAAAGACAGGTTAGTTCCACTTTTAGGAAATAACTATAATCCCTTCTTCTTCATAAAATGAAAAATTGCACTGTTCAGGGAGGTTTTCCTGATGCCTGCAGTACTTGAGAGTTAAACTCCAAATCATCCCAAGGTATTCCTTGATTTAGGAGAGCCGTGTCTATAGGGGGAATGGAACCATGAGGTCACAGCATTTGTGCTAGTGAGGATTTTGTAATTCTTCAGTATCCTGGTCCAAGAAGCCTTCTTTGTCCATGTTATTTTTGGAGTGCAAACTTCCTGTCATACCCCTTTCCTCGTCTTTCTCAACATAGTGGGGCAGCACAGGGAAGAACTATGCTGACTTTGTTTCAGTACCTCCCTGCTGTCAGCATTTCTTCTGTTTGCTTACAAGTGTACATGCTTTTATGGCCTCTAAAGGATTATTTTCCCCACTTCAGAAAACCGGACTCTGTGCATGCCCATTTGCACAGTTATCACTGCATTTCCAGGCAGCTTTTGCGTAACACCTCAAGGGAGTGAGTAACCATGAGCCTTAAGCAGTGTTGGCTACTTTATCTGGCACCAGGCCCCTCCATTCAGCGAGGTGACAAGCAAATCTTTTGAAAAGTCCAAATTTCACTGACTGGCCAGGCCAGCGTTTCTGCTGGAGCACCACAGGTTGTTACGGGGGCTGAAGTACAGCTGAGCAGTTCAAGCTCCTATCTGAGGAGCAGGAAGCCTGTTATCCCAACTGATATTGCCTTTTTCCCTGTGTCCTCACTCATAATGGAAAATACGGGGGAATCACATGGCAAAAACCAAGCATCATTACAAAACTCCTGATAAAAGAGTATTTTGAAAGGAGTCCTACCCTATCTGCTGGCTGGATGCTGTTGAAATCTCAGTGCTTTCATTATATAGCCTGCTGGAATGGGCAGCAATAGTGGCAGCAGTTACTTTTTTGACTCCAGCATGTAAGAGCTGTTCTGTTAGCCTTCTGTGATAGGAGTAGTCCTTGAATGCACCATTGACATGAGATGTGGTAGGAGTACCCTGTCGCAAGTGCCTTTGACTCCAGCTTTTGGAAGTGGGAGACCTTGTTTGGATCATAGTGTCCTCTAAGAGGGAGACAGCTAAAGTGCAAATGGTCCATGAAAAACATGACTTGCGGTGAGTCACTGCTGGCAGCTGGGAACATTTGTTGGTCAGCATTTGGCAAGGAAAGCTTTGACCAAACTGCTTTCCTAGAGTTCAGCTGAAGAGTTTATTATTAGCTGCCTTGTTGCTGTTGCCTGTAGTTTGATTCAAAGAAGGAAGAGATCTGCAAAAGATGGGAGGCATCTTCAGACAAACCTCATTTTGGGGAAGAAGCTTTTGAAAAGAATACTAAATATTCCCCATTCTGCCAGCATGCCCTGCTTCCTCTTTTTCTGAATCATTCTGTTCCTCCTCCTCAGATAAGCTAATGTCAAAGAATTTATCTTGCTACTATGTTTTTCAGCCAGTGGAACACTAACTGATTATGTTAAGCCAAACATACTACACATAACACACTAACATTAAATAACAATCCGGACAGACGCAGACAACTTCGAGATGCTAGAAAAATATACACCAGCATTTTTTCCCCATTTGAGCAAAGAACAAACTTGCTGCAGGGGGTCAGGAAGGTAGACTTGCTACAGATGTGCATGGAAACTGGCAAAAGTGCATTGTCTGGTGACTCGTGGCTGCGAGTTGTTGCAGTGAGAAAGCCCCTGACACAGCGTGTTTTTTATCATCGTTACTTCATCATCAGTCACTGCTGCAGCTGCTTTGAAGTTATCTGCTCTAGATAACAAGCTAGGCTTCTCCACTGGTTTTCCTCTTCCAGGTTGCCACTAGTGTTAACCCTTTCTTCAGTCAGCTTGTCATTGGTTTATATATTTTTTCCTTCTTTGGGAAAGAATCAGTGAGGAAAGGTCAGAACTTCTTTTTCAAAATTACTTATCTTTTAAGTCTTTCTAGTTAGAATTAAGACTCAAAAGGGATGCTAAACCTCAGGCTTGAGAGCTCAAATCAGTTTCTAGATAGTAGACATCAGGATGAGATCTGCTTACAGCAGGGTTTTGACTCTATCCTCTGGGATTCCGGCTCTGGGCATAGCAGCAGACAAGGAATTCAAAGCGAATTAATGGACTGTGAGGTGGCAGATCTGGTCTTCTGATTTGTAGCATTCCTAGGTAATAGATATAGAGATGATTGTGGATTTGGGGGTTTTTTTGTTTTAACATATTAGAACTTATAACCTGCACTTTACTGAACAGAGTATTTTAGGTACAAATTTCAATGTGAAATTTTTCATGGCCTAGTTTGAAGCTATGGCACAGCATGGACTATCTGGAAACAATGAGGATGATCTTTGAGCTGTTTTGAAGCCCGTTTGTAATGTTTTAGAAAGCAGGCTTCCAAGGAATGAACTGAAAGCCTTGCTGATAAAGAGAAACCTCAGAAGGAATCAAAAGATAGAGCTAATATACTATAGATAAGTAGAAGACTAAACAGCTTGTGTAAGATAATTACCCCTTCCCTCATGGCAAACACAGCCAGAACTGGAGGCCATAAGCCTGTCTTCCGTCGTAGGTCCCATCTTGGTTTCCCCCCATCCTCAAGATCACGAGACGGGATCCATTTCCCTGCTCTTCCCCTGCTGCTTCTTTCCGCTTCCCTGCCGCCACGTTGAGGCCATGGGTAAGGGAAGGTGTCCTGTGTCCCATTGCGCCCCAGCATGCACAGTGTCCCAGTGCATTGATCCTTGGGAGTCCCCAGTGTCACAGTAGGTCAATATTTGGTGGGAGACGAGGGAGAAAAGTGACTTTGGGCTCCCCCAAGTAACATAGGTACTTTTTTAGGTACAGCACATGGGGCATGCAAGAGATGACTGGGTCATGATGTCCCTGCTGCACAGTTATGACAACTTAGTTCCTACACTTGGAAGTGATGCTGAAATATCGTGATGCTGTTTGAACCCTATAGCGGTTATGACATGCAGCTAATGTGCAGAGTTTGCACTTGTAGAATTA